AAACTAACAAGTTTTACAAATAGTATCGTATTTCTAACATAATTTAATTCCAACATCATAATAACCATCTAAACATAAGCACTTATTATTTGTTGATATTCGATTATAGTCTTTTAAGTAATTTAAACAAGTATTCATATTTTCACAGGTCTCACATGAGAAATGGTATTCTAAAATAATCAAAAAATTATACTTTAACAATTTTTTTAATTTGTTTCATAAAATTCATGATTACACAAACATTTCTTTAGATCTGAATCTAAATGTCTAGTAATCAATTCCCATGAGATACACTCACTGTCATTTGAACATTCAAGACATATTGATGGCATTCTAAATTTAATTAATTAAAAATATTTTATATATTTTTAATAATAATCAATTCTTTTTTTAAAATTGATCTAATTTACCTTCCAAAAATATACTTCCTTTTGATTTTAATAATTATTTCAAGTCATAGCCTTGATGATTAACAAACTCTCCTTAATGTATGAGAGCTCCTTTTGCTTGAAAAATTGCTGATTAGGATATAAGAAGGATATTAAGATTGGATGTACCTAAATATACAATAATAATTAATACTTTCAGCAAAAAGATCATTTGAATTTAATGGTAATTTAAATTATGCTAGTAAATCTTTATACTTTTTATCTGAGGGCTGTATTTATTATCCTGTTTTAACATCCCATAATCTGATTGAGTTATCATCACTACCAGATGCTTAAGTAGTTCCATCAGGTGTCAAGAATAATGATACTAATATTAAATAAGTGATTTTAATGAAGAAAAAAACGAAGTTAGATTGTGCTATTTTGACTACCAAATTCAATTTTTTTCATCTGAAAAATAAGAAATAGATTCAATACTTTCAAAAAGGCCAACAATTTTTTAATATAGTATCCTGCTTAGTAATCTCATATCATTTTAGTCCGATAAGATTTTCCAAAAGCTAGAGCTTAGCAATTTTTAAGAAAAAACATTAATGTATTTAATTAGAATAATTGCCAATTTTTCTAAATTATTTACAAATGTTATAATCCCATGAAATAATTGAGCAATCTAAATACAATCAGCTAAATGAAGAACAATTATTGAAAATATAAAAAAATTGACATTACTGAAATGACCCTATAAATTTTCCAGATAAATATGGTTATATTATCCTTACTTCTAGAAACTTGAATAATTTCAATTTGAGAGAATGGCAATTGTAAATAAAAATTTAGCAGATTCCTAAAATGTAACCAAGCGACAGATGCAAATATTAATGCACTCAGCTAAATGAACTGGGTATTATATCTTGGAATTGTCAATCCAGATTTTTTGACATGATTAGCAACTCCATAAAATTATTGTACTACATCAATTGCATGAGGCTAAAATTGACCAAATGTTGAAAATACAACTAAATTAAATTAGAATGTCCAACTAATAAACCTATTTACGAAAATCCAATAATATAATTGTGACATAACTGATGACAGAGGCAAGCAATAATCTATCTTATGATATTCAAATTAATTTAATGCCAGTTAAATGATCTTCTATATCTTATAAACTTTCCATTTTTATAATCCCCTCTCATAGTTAACATATCCCAAATATAGTAATATTTTAAAAATCACAATTTGATCCATTAATTTATTCACTCTTCTCAAATCTTATAAGTTTATTTACCTGTGCTATAATTCCAAATATTGAATAACTTATAACTGCCACATGAAGTCAAAGTATAATGCTCTTGAATTTATATCTCCAATATGTTGCTCAAAATAGGTTTTTCATCCAATATTGTTTTTTGCTATTGAACATTTTATAAATTTGAATTGATAGCATTATTGTAGAATAAAAATTGTTGATTCTGTAAGTTAAAAATTTTTATTATATTAATCCACATATTCTAATTCTACGTTTTGGAGATCCTAAAAATTTTTAATTTTGTTTAACAAATTTAACAGTTGTGCACAAATCGATGCCGCTCTGATTTCATTTGGAATTGTTTAAGTAAGTTTTATCAAATATCATAACTTATTTTCAATCGTAATCGGTTTGCTTTACCCAAAATTTGGAAATTATATGTATTGTTCTTAACATAAAAATCAATTTCGAAAACCTTCACTAATTTCAAAAGCAGCACTTAATAATTACTTTTTCTTTCGATAAATTTTTCATTTAATTATTATTTTTCAATTTGTCCCCTAATTTAGAATCAATCTATATTCTCAAATTTCAACATTTCTTTCAAACTAATAATCATCCTAATATTCATTATCATTACATGTCAATTTATTTCTTTTATTTTAGTAACCATTTGGCATGGTCTTGAATATTTTTTGTTTTATAAATATCAAATCTAGTTCAAGTGCTTTTGAGTAATAATTTAAAACATCCATAAATCTTTTTTTTTCATAATATTATCTCAATAAATAAATTAAAAAAGTCGTAAAATACAATTGTCATATTCTCAATTTATTTATTCTAATTAAATAAAGAATATGATTTAAAGAAATCTTATGACTATAATCATACTAAAATAGATTTCGCTTCCTACTCCAAATTCTCATTTTATTACTTCTTTATATGCGAATAAGTATCTTCAATAGTTAAATTAATCTTTAGAAACCTTTAATGTCGTATTTATATAATCTAATTTTGAGAAATTATTTTAAAGTTTCCCTTTAATCTATATATTAATTGAAGAAGTATACGAATAAATAATTCAATTAGTATAATTAGTATAGGAGTTAAAAAGAAGGTACATAAATCTGATTTCTAAAATTGTTGTCAAAACAAAAAAATAATAATTTTGTTTAATTCAAACCAAAGCTTTTATAATGTACTATTAATAAGCAAATTACATAGTTAATTGAATGATGAAGGTAATTTTTATTTTACATTCTATTCTGATTTATTAACCCAAACTATTCTTCATGATAGTTCTTAATATTCTAATTACAATAACAGGATCATATTATGGCAATTCATTTAGTAATAATATTAACACTAATAATAATTCTAAAACATCTGGAGGATAATTCTTAACTTCGTCATTTTCAAAGGCAAATATTTTTTATTTATTTAGAAAAATATATTCTTTATTTTAATGAATGAGGATCTTCAATTAATATTTATGCTATCTATTTCAAACTAAGATAATTCTATTCTATTATTTAATTCATTTACAACGTTAATAACATTTATTCCTAAGAATTTTCATTCATTTTATCAACAACTGTTATCAATGTCATTTCAGATCCAATTACTTTATCACTTATTTCATATAATTTAGGAAAAACTAATGTTGTTTCGATTTCAAATAAATTTATAAAGAGGTTGTTTCAATTATGTATTACATTAAATTTTTTAATTTTCACTCTTCATCATAAATTATTTAAATGTAGAATTGACATTTAAAAATGACTTTATCATTTTACATCTTCGACCATCATAAATCACTTAGATCTATCCAAAATATTTATAGTATTTTTCATAAGTTTAGTGATTTAATTAAAATCTTATGTTACAACCTGTATCTCGGAATCTCATCAATGTATACTAAAATATGAGTTCATATCGATCAGCATTAATCTTAGCATTAAGCCTTTATTCCTTCTTCTTTTCTTCTAAAATAGTCCATCTATATGTTTAAAGCCTAGATTGATTATTTCTAATTTTTTGATGGGTTATTCTAAGAAAATAAGAAAACTTTAGAAATCTGCTATAAAGTCAATTAAATCAATAAAAACAAAATTTAAATTTATAGATTCTTAATTTATGCAAATGAATACTATTTAAACTTTTCAATCAGCAAATTTTTCTTCGAAAAGTGACTTATTTTTTTGTATATCCATCTTCACCCAAATACCAATCTTTATACCTTTCTAATTATATTCGCCTTGAAAAATGAATTAAAAAATATCCTTAAATTCT